TTTTTTTTGACATTGAGTCTGCTCTGTCACCCAGTCTGGAGGGGAGTGGTGCTCCAAAATAATATATTATTATGAGACTAGTTTTACCCTGGTGACACCACTTACTGCAACCTCTACTTCCTGGGTTCAAGTGATCCTCCTGCCTCAGCCTCCTGAGTAGCTGGGATTATAGGCGCACACCACCATGCCTGGCTAATTTTTGTATTTTTACCAAAATGGGGTTTTACCATGTTGGTCAGTCTGGTCTTGAACTCCTGACCTCCTGATGTGCCCACCTTCGCCTCCCAAAGTGCTGGGACCACAGGTGTGAGCCACCATACCCAGTAGATAATATTTGTTTTTCAGAAATTCTTTTTTGTTCCCTGAAACATCTCTATTTCTGCTAGGGTAATTTTTTGCCTTTTGCTTATCTTGATTTTACACCTTGATGTTGTAGGTTTCCCCAAATGCTTGTGGTCTGTTGTAGTCTGTTCATGCTTACCAGCAAGATGTTGAAAAGCAAACCTGGAACTCCATTTAATGGGATGGACTTGCAAACTTGTGGGCTTGGCTGAGGGAATACTGAATGTCTGAAGGTGAAAGCCTTTTCTCTGAGTCATCTATATTTTTCTTAAGAAGAAACCTCCAGGCTGGACGTGGTGGCTCACACCTGTAATCCCAGCACTTTGGGGGGCCGAGGCAGGCGGATCATGAGGTCAGGAGTTCAAGACCAGACTGGCCACCATGGTGAAACCCCGTCTCTACTAAAAAATACAAGCAAATAAACAAAAACAACAACAACAACAACAAAAAATTAGCTGGGCATGGTGGCTTGTGCCTGTAATCCCAGCTACTTGGGAGGCTGAGGTAGGAGAATTGCTTGAGCCGGGACCTGGGAGGCGGAGGGTGCAGTGAGCTGGTATCACGCCACTGCACTCCAGCCTGGGCTACAGAGAGAGAGACTCCATCTCAAAAAAGAAAAAAAAAAAAGAAAAGAAACCTCCAGTCATCTGCCTGAGTTTGGGTGTTCTGTGTTATAGAGCAAACTGTTTTTAATTTTGCCTTTTGAACAATCTCTCGATTTTCATCTCTGCATCTCCTTCTCAACTACCACTGCATCCCTCGGAGGCTGCAGGACACGCTGGATCCTTTTCTGACCTCAGGAAGCTTCCTCCACCTGTGATAGTGATGAGCACCCCCTCACCACTTTTCTCTTTCATACTTAGGTTTAAATTTCTCATCTAATTCCTTTCTCTTTGTCATTGTGACTTTAATTCCTTTACTATCATTTTAGGGGTTACTCTAGTGAGAGAGGAGAAAAACAGTTGTCATTAATCAACCATTTTAAACCAGAAGTCATTTTCTTTTTTAAAAGAATTGAATGGATAAATGATGCAGGCTTGAGGAATGGGAAATCTGAATGATTCTCTATTCTATCCTGATGCCTGTTTGAGGAATGGGACGTCCCAATGACCCTTTTATGGCGGGATAAAAAAAAAAATCCTGTAAGTCTTCATACCATTTGGAAATATAGATAAAATTGTTAAGGCCTATTAGCAAGGAGAACGATTTAGCAGGTAAGAATCAGAACTACAGGCCAGGCACGGTAGCTCACGCCTGTAATCCCAGCACTTTGGGAGGCCGAGGTGGGTGAATCATGAGGTCAGGAGTTTGAGACCAGCCTGGCCAATATGGTGAAACCCTGTCTCTACTAAAAAAATACAAAAATTAGCTGGGCGTGGTGGCGCATGCCTGTAGTCCCAGCTACTCAGGAGGTTGAGGCAGAAGCATCACTTGAATCTGGGAGACGGAGGTTGCAGTGAGCCAAGAATCACACCACTGCACTCACTGTGGGTGACAGAAAGAGACTCTGTCTTGTCTCAAAAAAAAAAAGGAAACAGAACTACAAACTTTTGTGAGTTTAAAAATTAATTTCCCAGGCATAGCCTTAAAGTTTGAAATCCAGACACGTGCACACAAATGTTCATTGCAGCACTGTTTACAATAGCAAAGACCTGGAACCAACCCAAATGCCCATCGACGATAGACTGAATAGGGAAAATGTGGCACATATACACCATGGAATATTATGCAGCCATCAAAAACGATGAATTTGTGTCCTTTGTAGGGACATGGATGAACCTGGAAACCATCATTCTCAGCAAACTGACAGAAGAGCAGATCAAACACTGCATGTTCTCACTCATAGGCGGGTGTTGAACAATGAGAACACATGGACACAGGGAGGGGAGCACTACACACTGGGGTCAGTTGGGGGGAAATAGGGGAGGGATGGTGGGGGGTGGGGAGCTGGGGAGAGATAGCAAGGGGAGAAATGCCAGATGTAGGTGATGGGGAGGAAGGCAGCAAATCACACTGCCACGTGTGTACCTATGCAACAGTCTTGCATGTTCTTCACATGTACCCCAAAACCTAAAATGCAATAAAATAAATAAATGGGGGAAAAAAATAAAAAAATAAATAAAAGTTTGAAATCCAGAGGTCTCCATATATCACCTCTGCAGGCAAGTTTAGACAGATCAGTGTATCCTAGTTTTGCATATTCACACAAGTCTCTGTGCTGGACCAGAGAAAGAATGATTTTCTTGTGACTACTCTTAATCAAACCTTACCAGATGAGAGTCTTTGAACCAATTTTATGATGCAGACTGCCACCCTCCCTCTGCAGTTACAGATGGAGGAGGTACATCTCCTTTACGTCTCCTGAGATTTCCTCTCTTTATTGTTAACTAAGAAGACTTGCTGTTCAGGGTTAGGTTCTGTGATATCTCAGTCAGCTTTTTATTTCTTTCTCTGCAAGTTAAAGTTCTCCAGAGAAACAAAACCAATGGGATGTGTGTATATAGAGAAAGAGATTTGCTATAAGGAATTGGCTCTTGCAGTTATGAAGGCTGGCAAGTCCAAAATTTGTAGTGTGGGCCTGCTGGTTGGAGACCCAGGAGAGCTGATGGTGCAGTTCCAGTCTGAATGCAGCCTGCTAGAAGATTCTTTCTTTCTTGGGGACACTTGTCTTTTTGTTCTATTCAGGCCTTCGATGTGTTGGGCAAGCCCCATCTGTATGATGGAAAGCAATCTGCCCTACTTCAAATTCACCGATTTAAATAATCTTATCCAAAACACCCTCCAAGTTGGCACATAAAATTAATTACCACAGTATCATGTCAACTCTTATAAAGATTTTCACATCTTTTAATTGCATATTTTCCCTAGAAAGTTCACGTGAAGGTCTCTTTATAATAGTTTGATTGGAGCAGTGTGAGACTTTTTACTTCTATGTACAGACCGTTCCTTTTTTCTACCTTGATTTTTTCCAAAAGAAATAAATTCCATTTATTGTGGTTTCCCCACAAGAATGTCTGTTTTACACATGTTGGTTCTCCATTGACCATTCTTCATGTCTAAAATCTTCTAGCCACCACCTCTTAGAAACTCAGTGTCTATTTCAACATTGTATCTTTATTTCTTAGGATGGTCACAGAGATCCAGAACGTAGAGGGTCAGAACCTGCAGGAGCAGGTTTTCCCTGAGCCCATCTTCAGGTTCTTCAGGGAACACAAGGTGGAGATTGCAAGTGCAATAACAAGGCCATTTCCTTTCCTTATGGGCCTCCGAGACCGCTCCTTCATCTCTGAGCAGATGTATGAGGTTAGTAAGAATTTCCAAATGATGGTAAACCGGGTCCACACTCAATTATGCCAAACTTTAAGATGCAATGAACAGGCTGAAGGGCCTCCTGTGAGTGGGGACCTTCACCATCCTGCAAGTTAGGCGGTGACAGGAGAAGCAGGCATCACAGAAAACATCTGTTCTTCTGTAGTAAATGTTGGGGAGGGGTGTGGTCAGGGAGGTGGGGCAGGGCAGAGAATGAGAATGCTGTATGATCGTCCTAGGTAACGTATACAATCTAATGGTAGCCAAAATTCAAGTACATAAGTGAGCTTGGCAGCATTTCATTACAAAACCTGCTTAGTTGAAACACTTGAGCCTGAGATTTTTGAAACTCACAGGGAAGGTGTGTCATGTTAGGATACATTTGGAAGTGGATGCTTGCTACTCTCTCTCCAAATCATTGATTGATCTCTGGACATTCCTAGAGCCCCAGAAGGCAAGTAAATGTTAGCAGCGGATGCCCTTAGGGATACTGAGGACAAGTCTTCAGTTTGTCTTTGTGAATTTTCTGTACCCTTTGGCCAGGAGTCACCATAGGGGGCTGGTTGATTGGCTTCCTGGAGCGAGTCAGGCCAGGACAATCCTAGTAATGGTTATTATCCACACAACAGAATGGCCTCTCACGACTTAAGGCCATTCCTGAAGTAACCTGGCCAGGCTCTAAAGGCCCACAACACATCTCTCCTCTCAAGTGTACAACAATGTCAGGGAGTCAGGTTCAAAAAATTAGAGTATTTTCATGGCAGAGGACATTTAAGAAGTCATCCATATATGCAAAATTCTAACATTTCACAAGAGAACAGCTGTTCTATCTCCAACCTACAAGTCTTTTATAACCCACAAATTTCTAACTACATAATTCTCCATTTAATATTTTTAAGCATTTTCAAGAAGCTTTTAGAAACCTGGTCCCAGTGGCAAGAGTGATGTACTGTGTACTCAGTGAACTGGAAAAGACGTTTGGCTGGTCACATCTGGAAGCGTTGTTCAGCAGGGTTAACCTGATGGCCTATCCTGATTTAAACGAGGTTTACAGAAGCTTCCAAAATGGTAACTGTATTTCTCAACAATTTTGGGGGATTCAAGCCCATTTCTTTCATTGATTCATTCTTTCACTCTTCATTAATATTTGACAAATGTTTGATGAGTAACTATTACATGCCAAGCCCAGGGGGAGTATAATGATGAAAAACACACATGTCCTATGTCCTTATGGAGTTTGCTTATAATGGGAATAACAAACGTTAACCGAGTAATCCTGCAAATGGTTGCTCAGCCAGGACTTGACTTTGATGCTGTAAAACATAGGATTGAAGTCTCCATTTTTTTGAAGGAAGACATGAGTGATGCCTTTTCATAGGAAAGGAGGGAGCCCTCTTTGATACTTGCAGACATGTTCAAAGATAAAAAGATTTTCTTTGTATTAGAAAATTTATCATTCAGTGCAGTCCTGTGTCAACTTGTTTCTCCAAACTAAGAGTGGAGAAGTCATGAGGGAGCCCAGCACATACTGGTACACTGAGGAGGAGTGGCATGTGAAAGCTATGAAGACTGAAAAGCGGGTTGGTCGGGGGCTTTCAGAACCATGTGGTTGAATTGCAGAGTGTGGGAGAGAGGGTTTGGGAGCTGGTTCTGGAGAAAGAAGTTGGAGTGAATTCTGGAGGAATTCACACCCTGTGCTAAGGAATTTGGAGTTTATTTTTTGGAAAATAAAGAAGCAATAAGGGGCATTTAAATAGGGGAAAAGTAAAATAAGTCAATATGAAGAATGAGTTGTGTTGATTTGTGAATACCATACCTTGATTCAAAAAAGAGCTATCTCACTTTTATATTATGATACATCCGAGTCAGAAAAAGGTCTAGAGGAAATCAAATACCGTGCAGGCCTCCTTTAGTTTCTACAAGGGATTGGTTTCAGGAATACCCACCACCCTCAGTCCTGGATACTCAAGTTCCTTATATAAAATGGCATAGTTTTATTTGTATATAACTTACGCACATCCACCAGTATATTTTAAATCATCTCTGGATTACAGTACCTAATACAATGTAAATGCTATGTAAATAGTTGTTAAATTGTATTTTTCATTTAGTTATTTTTAATTTTTCTATTGTTATTTATTTATTTTTTGAGACAGAGTTCACTCTATCACCCAGGCTGAAGTGCAGTGGAGTGATATTGGCTACTGCAACCTCCACCTCCTCGGTTCAACTGATTTTCCTGCCTCAGCCTCCTGGGATTACAGTCACCTGCCATCACACCCAGCTAATTTTGTGTATTTTTGGTAGAGATGGGGTATCACCATGTTGGTGAGGCTGGTCTTGAACCCCCAACCTCAGGTGATCTGCCCTCGCCCTCCTTGGCTTCCCCAAATGCTGGGATTATAGGCATGAGCCACTGTGCCTGGCCTGTTATTTTTTATTTTTAAACTTTTTCCCATATTTTTAATTGAGGTTGGGTGAATCCATGGATCCCCACCCCAACTGTACCTAGGCACAAATTTTGAGTCAATATTATATTTTAACTAGGGTGTTCCAGGCTGTGAGGATGAAGGGAATGACGTTATTTCTACTGCCCACATCTCAGGGGCTCTTATTTTCCCTGTGGACTGTGGGGATCCCGCTGGCCCCAACATCCACATCTCATAGGTTAGTTTCTGGCACTTCCTGTTTTTGGGTGACAGGCACCCGAGGCTCACCACTGCCCACTCCCTCGGACTATGAGTAGAAATGTGAGAAATGGGTAGAAATAGAATGAGTTGTAAAAAGATTGAAAAAGAGGTAAAAAAGAAAGGAAGAAAAAGAAAGAAACTGCCACTTCTGCTACACAACATCCACAAAAAATAATTCAAGTTGGATCACAAATCTAGAAATTAAGACTAAAAGTATAAAGCTTCTAGAAGAAAACATAAGACAGCGTCTTTGTAAACTGAGAGTAGGTAGTAATTTGTTATACGGGACGCAAAAAATATGGATCATAAAAGAAAAACTTGGTAAGTGAGATGTCACCAAATTAAAAACTACCCATCCAAAGTCACCATTAAGAAAAGGAAAAACAAGCCAAGACTGGGAGAAAATATTTGCAATATACATATCTAACAAAGGATTGTACTCACAATATATGAAGAACTCCTATAAATGAATAATAAAAAGACGCACCACCAATTCAAAAAATAGACAAATGATTTGAACAAACACTTCAGGACAGGAGATATAAAATGTCCAACAAGAACAAAAAGTGTATGACATTATTAATCCTGAGGGAAATGCAAATTAAAGTCAGAGTGAGGTGTCATTCACTCACCAGAACTGCTGAAATTAAAAAGACTGACAATACCAAATGCTGTTGAGAATATAGAACAATTGGGCCTCCCATCCCTTGCTGGTAGGAATGTAAAATGATAAATAACACTTTGGGAAAGTGCCTGGCAATTTCCTGTAACGTTGAACCTAACCTATGATCTTGGCAGTTTTACTCCTAGGTATTTACATGAGAGAACTGAAAATATGTTCACCCAAAGATTTGTATAAGAATGTTTATGGCAGCCTTATTCATAATAACTAAAATCTGGACCCAACACAAATGCTCAACAAGAGAGTAATAAACTATGACTAATTTATAGAGTATAATACTGTTAAGCAATAAAAAGGAGTGAACTGTTATCATGATGCAGCAACATGGATAAATCTCAAAAACATTACGTTGAGGAAAAGAAGCAAGTTGTAGGAGTATATACTACATGAACCTATTTGTGCCAGTACAGACAATACAGACAAGTACAGTGCCAGGAAGGAAGGAGCTATTGCTGGTGATAGAAACCAGAGCAGTCGTGTCTTAAGCACAAGGCAATTTTCTGTAATGGTGGAAATGTTCTGAATCTTGACTGGGATGTTGGTTTCACAATGATATACACTTAAGGTATGTGCATCTCAATGAAAAAGAGGGAAACAAGGCTCTGTTGGACCTCAGGGGCGGGGGATCCTGGGGCTTGAACATCAAGTTCAGCCTGAGCACTCTGAGGTCTCTCCTCTGGTCACTGTCTGAGTTTGGTAATTTTTACATTGTTTTCTTCAGCATGCTATGAACACCCACCTTGCCAAATGAACAATGTAAGCTGGTTAGAAGATAGACCCAGATTACTACTGTGTGGTAAACAAGGTGACTATCATTTAAATGATCAGTGCCCTTATTAAAGATTTGCTTCCTTGTCTTCATGGAGGCAAAGCTTGTATTTTGTCTCCTGTTTTAGCCCTCTGCTACCTCCCAGTCCTCCTCCCCTCACACAGCCATGTACCTGCTTTTACCTGCCAACAGATGTGAGAGAACCAATGAAAAAGGAGATCTGATCTCTTGAATAGATGGAGTCTCCATTGAGGGCAAATATAAAAAGAGAAAATGGGAAAGGTAGACGGAGGAGAATACATGACAAATTACCTGGATGTATTCCATCTTCTAAAGGAACATAAAATTCCTACCCTCCCAGGTTGAGATAAGGGGATTATTTTAAATTAATTTCATAGAAGTATTAAGAGAAACTCAGAAATAACCTAGGCCATATCAGATTCAGGTGAGAGATGTTCCTTACAGAGTTGGCCAGTTGGGAGTCCCTGGCACTGTGGTTGCAGTCCAAGAGGGGAGTTTGGATATGGAGAGACAGGGGAGCCTGAAGGATAGAATTGCACAGGGAGACAACACTGAAATAGTGTTGGCAGACAGCAGACCAAGGTGAAATGGGAGAAACAGAAATGGAAAGGGAGGAAGTATAAGACACAGTAGAGAAAATGTAAACTGAAAAATCTGCCAAGGATCAGAGGTAAAAATGGAGAGAGAAGTATATGGAAAAAGAATGATGAGAGGAAGATAAATACCAAGAAATGGGGGAAGTGGAGAGGCACAGAGGCAAATATATAGATGAAGAGTTAAGAAAAAAAGGGTGTAAAATCACTTGAGAGTGAAAGTGGATAAAAGGGAGAGAGAAACAGATTGGGCCAGTGCGGATTTGAGGTAACAGCACTAGGTATTAGCAACTTTACAAGGGTTGGCTCCATTAACCGTGAGTTTTCAGATTGAACCGTTCACATATCAAAGTGGCACTTGCAACATAATCAGATTGCAATAGGCCTCTCCCGGAGTAGCCCAATGATTCCCGAGCACAAATCTCCACTCTAAATTATCTTTAGAGTACATTTATTCATGAACCCAAGGACCTTTACTCATGGGTCCAATGGACATCCACACTTGAATTTTTTCAAGAACCTTAAACTTGGTACTTTGAGAACTGAAAGCAACATCTTCATTGCTCAAATTAGATCTAACTCCTCCGCAGCACTCTTTCTCTCAGAGATGGATCACTACCGTCCCATGGTTTTTTAAGTTGGAAACCTAGTCATGTCATCATGGATGACTCCTCTCTCGCCCTCAAATACATGCCAGTTATGCACCCAACATAATCATTTCACCTTTGGGTTGCCTCCGGCCTGTCCATCTTTGCATCTCCAAGACCAGGTCTCTGGTCCAGATCTCCATCACTCTCATGGTTCTCAGGACAACGTCCTTTGCTCATCGCCTCCCTCTAATCTTGCTTCTATCAAATGTGTTATTTGCACTTCAACTAGATGGGATATTTAAAAATGCACATTAGATTGTATCATTTTCCTACTTACCTCCTTAATACACTAAGAAGTAAATAAATGGGTTTTTAAGTAACATCCAAGGGCATTCACAATGAGCCACCTGCCTGAAATATTACTTCAAGATAGAATAAAATTTCCCCCAATAATTTCAATTATTAAATCTTTATTTCAAACTGAGACTTTCCCTATGTTTTCTCCATAATGCCTTTAGAATTGTTTTTCTGACCCACTGTCTTCCATTTACCCTTCTCCAATCCAGCTAAGTCCTGTTTAGAATATATTATCAAAGGGAGGTCTTTCTTTAGAGAGAGCTAGAAAGGCACAATTGAGAGACCAAGGATGGGTGAGAAAGAGTGGTATCAGAGAAAGCAAGAGAAAAATCTGCAGAAGCAGAGAAGAGAGAAATGCATCTGGGAAAGAGAGGCTCCAAGAAACACCAGTAGAAAAAAATAGAGGCAGAGATTGAGGAAATGGACAGAAGCAAATGGAAAGACACGAGTGAGAAAATGTGAAAGAGAACAAGGTATAAGAAAAGGAAGATTTCCTCACAATGGGTGAATTATTTTCAGCCTCTGGTGAAGGTTACTGAAGGACTTTATCCTCAGGTCAGGTTTTTTGGGGAGCAGGGACCTCCCAGTTTATCAGGCTTTCTTAGTTTTCTCATTATTTATTTTCTTGTTTTGATGCCTTCTTGACCATAAATCAAGATATCTGAGGGATCTTATTCCTTTCTGCAGAGAACAGCAATGCCTGTCATGAAATGTGTGATGTAGCAGTGCCTCAGGAAGCCTTGAGCTTCTCGCCAAGGTGTGGGCCAGGTAAGGAGGGGAAGACTTGCTCTCCCTAACCTGCTGGGTGTCAGGAAGTGGAATTCAGAGCTGGTGTTTCCTGCAGCATTTTACTCTGAGCACATTCCACAGTCAAAAGATCCATTTTTTCCTGGGATCCTACAATTCTGCTAAATGTTCCTAAGTGTATGTTATAGTAGAAATATGCCAGAGAAAGGTGTCTTTCATGTCTACTAACAATGAAAACTTGATCATACCTACCCGCTATTTATTTTCTCTAGAGAATAAAAACTATTACTGTTACTATTATTATTTTGTCCTTTACTATAGAAAGCCTTCAAAAGAAACATGTTCCATCAGACCAACTACTTGAAAAACTAAATGATAATTTTTGCCAATTATTTTCCATTGTGTTACTGTCTTACATAGTGATTGTTCAAAGAACTTTGGTAAACAAGATGCCATTTTATCTCCACAGCTTATGAATTTAGATGGATAAACTTTTGCTTATTTCTATTTTAAAGCTAAATAAAGTAGAAGGAGAAACATAGAAACGTGTAAGATCTTTTACCAGGTCAAATTAGTCAAACAAGAACATGACCCACATTCCTGCTGACTCACTGCGGTGATGGTTGTGTGAGGTAGGCAGAGGGCAGGGTAGCCAGAGGGTTAGGGATAGGCGTTCACACAGGAGACTCAAGGAGGCCTGCAGGTTCCCAGGGGAGCAACAGAAAAGAAAAAGAGAGGGAATCCTGGAAGTCAAGGAAATGGACAGTGCTTCATGGTGTAGAAGCAAGAGCATGTGGTGACCAAAAAATGAGAAGGAGAAAGGAGGTAGCAGAGAGATGAACAGGAGGAAAACAGGCAGAGCAAGGCTCTGGTGGGACTCGGGAGAGGTTTTTGGAGCAACGGTGTTGTTTTTTCCAAGGAGAAGCTTCACCTGAGTGCTGAACACCAGAATTCAGCAAGAACGTCTTCACATCTGTGCTCTCATCATTGCGTCTTGTTTATTTTCAGGTTTCTCTTCAGAGTCTCATGAGCAATTAGCTCTTCCAAGGGCTGATGGAGGAGATGCTGAAAATGCACCCAGCCTGCTACCAGGTGGGGGAAGTAATTATGATTTAAATGACCAATTACCTCTTAAAATTAGTTGGCTTATCTCTATGCAAGCAACACTTCCCGTCCTTCTCTCTCCACTACCACCCCTCTAATACACTTTTGTTCAGATTGTGGTTGTTTTCCCCATGTGTGTGGAAGGCAGGAAGTAAACAAAAGCTAAGTCCTTTAGTGGAGGGGCTCCTGGGTTGAGAGCTTAAGGGTACAGAGTCACACAGATTGCTTTGATTGGAGGCACCAAATGGTGTTGCTTAAGTGGGCCCAATTTTATCTAAAGGAATATGGAATCTAAATCCGACCAGGATGGGGTTTGAGAAAAGAGAGATAATTTTAAACTTACTTTCCAGGGATTGTTTAGGAATAATGAAATACTGTGTATAGAAGGGACAAAGTACAAGTGACAAAGTTAGAAGAATAAATAAGGATATAATGTGGCAAAGAGGTGACAAACATCATGAAGGAAGAAAGAGACAGAAATGCAAAGAAATGGTAGAAGTCAGGGAGAAGAAGTCAAGTCAAAAAAATCCAGGGGTTGGTTTATGGTGCAGATGTAGCAATGTGTAAAGACAGGGTTAGAGGGACAAAAAAGGGGAGAGAGAGGCAGAGAGGGGAAAGGGGCCTGACAAGGTGCTAAAAGAAGTGGAGCCACTCTTGTTTGGTGCAAAGATACCTTTACTCCCAGGAAGCAGTTCTACACCTGAACATTAGAGCTCAGCATGGCCACATCCAGGTAGGTGTCCAGGTCACTGTCAATTGTCTGTCATGTTTTTCTTTTGCTCTGCAGTGTGCTGTGAACATGCTATACAAGTAGATGAAGGAGAATCAGAAGAAATGCCCCAGTTACTGCCTTATGATGCAGAAGGTAATCAGGATTTAAATTAAAGCTTTATTTTTCTGTCAACACACAAAAACACCTACTCTTTCATTTCCCTTCCCATTCCCCCATCTATTCATATATTCATCCATACATCCATCTATCTATTCATCCATCTGTCTATCCATCCATCCATCTATCCATCCATATATCCATCCATCCATCCATCCGTATATCCATACATTCATATATCCATCCATCTATTCATATATTCATCCATCCATCCATCCATCCATCCATCCATATATCCATCCATCCATCCATGCATCCATATATCCATCCATCCATCCATCCATGCATCCTTCCCCACATACTGACTATGCCCAGCTTCTACCTGCCTTTCTTGAGAGACACGAGTAGCAAAGGAAGAATAAGCTCAGACTGGTTGGAGTTTTCCTGGACACAGGACATAGGGAAAGGGGGAGAAAGGAAAGTATAGATTGAAGCATTAAATGAAGTAAGATCTGAGTGACTGCCAGTTTTACCGAAATAGATGTGGAATCCAAATATTACCATGTTGGGTAATATTTGGGTAATAATACCACTTTGAGTTATAAGGAAGGAGAGATAATTTTAAACTTATTTCTTGAGGTTATGCCAAGAGCATGGATGTAATGAGTATACTGCAATACAGAAAACTCAGTGAAAGACTGTTGAAATGAACTTCACAAAAGGAAGAGTCCCTGTCCCCCCCGCCTTTTAAATATATGTTTTATTGCACTTTAGGTTCTGGGGTACATGTATAAAACATGCAGGATTGTTGCAGAGGTACATATATGGCAATGTGGTTTGCTGCCTCCATCCCCCTGTCACCTATATCTGGCATTTCTCCCCATATTATTGCTCCCCAACCTCTATCTCCCACTGTCCCTCCCCTAGTCCCGCCTGCCCAACAAACCCCAGTGTGTGATGCTCCCCTCCCTGTGTCCCTGTGTTCTTATTGTTCAACACCCACCTGTGAGTGAGAACATGTGGTGTTTGTTTTTCTGTTCTTGTGTCAGTTTGCTGAGAATGATGGTTTCCAGATTCATCCATGTCCCTATAAAGGGCACGAACTCATTGTTTTTTATGGCTGCATAGTATTCCATGGTGTATATGTGCCACATTTTCCTTGTCCGGTCTATCATTGATGCCCTTTCCCTTCGTTAATAGCAAAAGATGAGACCTTTAATGGTATGGGAGAAGAATAAGATAAATTTTTAGATTTAAATTTTGAATTGAAAAATTAGGAACAGAAAGCTAACTAGAGAGAACAGATAGAGGCATGGAAATGAGCACCATGGAGGAAAGGAGATAAGCTTGATTATTAAATAAGGTACAGGATTTAAAATGTGAAGAAAATATTATGAGAGGAGCAGAGAGAAGAAAAATGCTAGAAAACAGAGACAGTGGAGGAGAGACAGAAAAGTTATACACAGAGAAAAAGATAGAGTAAGTGAAAAGTTAGCAGAGAGTAAAAACTGCTTGAAAGGGATAGGGAACAATATGGGACATTTTAGGGATTCAGGCAAGATTCACGAGACAGAAATAACTCCTGGCCCAAGAATGGAACATGTTAGCAGTGAGTTTTAGCTTATGATGTCCCCAACCTATCAAAATGGCACCTGTAATGTCCTCAGAGGCAGTTGACTTCCCCCCAGGGTTTCATGTCCCTCCCATACGTACCTTAATGATTTCAAAACACATATGTCCAGATTTATCTTCTAAGTTCATTCATCTGAGTACCTGAACATGTTCGTGAAGATATCTGAAAGACCCCTCCATTTGGATGTTTTTCGGGAACCTCAATACAACTCTAAGATTGCACATACCATCTTTCCTGACATCAGATCTGACCCCTCTCTCACTGTTCCCTATCTCAGGATGAAACACTGTTACTATATTTTTCAAGCAGAAACCAAGGAGCCATTAATGACTCTCCCCACCTCCCTCAACTTAAATACCCCATCAGCCATCCAGTTGACTTTTAGTGAGTTCACATATCTCACCTGTCCATTTCCTTCCACCCTAACACAAAAACTCTGGTCAGATTTCTTGGACTGGAGCAGCAGCCTCCAGACTCACATCCTTCCTCTGATCTTGTACCTCTCACAGCCATTCATTCCAACTCGAACAACTCTTTCAAAAATGGAAGTTGGAGTCAGGTGAGGTGGCTCACACCTGTAATCCCAGCACTTTGGGAGGCCAAGGCGGGTGAATCACCAGGTCAGGAGATTGAGACCATCCTGGCCAACATGGTGAAACGCTGTCTGTACTAAAAATGCAAAAATTAGCTGGGTGTGGTGTGTGCCTGTAATCCCACCTACTCAGTAGGCTGAGGCAGGAGAATTACCTTAATCTGGGAGGTGTAGATTGCAGTGAGCCAAGATGGTGCCACTGTACTCTAGCGTGGCCACAGAGGGAGACTCCGTCTTAAAAAAAAAAAAAAAAAAAAAAGGAAGTTGGCGTACCTTACATTTCTACCTTAAATCAATAACTACTTGGGGTCATAAGGATTAAATCTAGTTTTCTTCCCAGGGAAGAAATCCATCTTTATGTCTGCCTCAAGGTTTACATACAAATTTTCTAGTCACTTTCATTTTCTGATGACTTTCTCATCTGAGCCTTCACAAAGTCTTAGACCTCTGCTATGAAAAGTCATCTTGTTCCACTACACTCTCCATCATGCTCACTAGTCGAGTGAAATAATGTGGAAATTACATACACTCTCAGAGATGCCTTTTCTGACCCCTAGTTCAGGGGTGATAGATGGGGCAAGGACATAAAACACCAGGGAAGAAAGAGGGAGGTAAGAACAGTCCCAGAGAAAGAAACGAAGACAAAGATAAGTACCAAGAAAGAGAGATCAACAGCAAAAGACAGAGGTAGAAACAGAAGAAGCAGAGACGTGTCAAGGTGAAAATGAAGTCGCCATCATGGGGTGGGAGACCAGGTGGGCAAGGTTTCTGTCACATTACTGGATTATACAGGAGCTCCTTTTACCCTCGCAAGGTCTTTTTTTTTGAGAGTCTCACTCTGTTGCCAGGCACAAGGGTGGAGTGCAGTGGTGCGATCTCGGCTCACTGCAACCTCCGCCTCCTGGGTTTAAGCAATTCTTCTGCCTCAGCCTCCCAAGTAGCTGAGACTACAGGCATGCACCACTAATTTTTGTATTAGCACACCCAGCTAATTTTTGTATTTTTAATAGAGACAGGGTTTCACCATTTTGGCCAGGATGGTCTCGATCTCTTGACCTCGTGATCCGCCCGCCTCGGCCTCCCAAAGTGCTCGGATTACAGGCGTGAGCTACCACGCCCAGCCCCTCAAAAGGTCTTAAACGTTGGTATGCAAACAGCTGAACCTCTATTTTAGACTGGGAAATAAAGCACAGAAATGCAAGCAGGATATTTTCACAAAGGCAAAGTAGAAAAGGAAGAGTGGGATCAGTGTCCTGCGTGTGTCACTGGGTGATGCTTGTGCAAGGCCAGCTGGGGGTCAGAGCAGGGTCACCGGGTCAGAATAGGGTCACAGGGTCAGAACGGAAAGAAGCCCAAGGAGATCTGCAGGTTCCTGGAGGAGAGAACCAGGGACCAATATAAGGCTTTAAGGAAAAAATGTTCCCACTGGGAGGGAAGGGAAATCATGGAAAGACAGCATAGAAATAGAGCCTGCTCTTTGGATTAGGAGGGATCTAGAATAAGAGCTAAAGAAATAATACAAAACGAATATAATATCACTGAAGAAGAAAAAAGTCATAGAAACAGGAGGCAGGAGGAGCCGGTTGGAGAGAAGACCAGGCAATCCAAGAGCTGCCAGGGAACTGTGTGGAGGCAGAACTGTGGGGAGGACACTGAGAATTAGAAGGAGAAAGAGGAGATGCAACAAGATGGAGAAATGGCGGAAACAGATGGAGGTGGCTGTCAGCGTTTTCCCATCTTGGATGGCAGGAACATACTGAGGTCTGTATCCAAGTCACCCTCTGTTGTCTGTCAATTTCTTGTTTCTCTGCAGAGAGCTTTGATCTAAACACTCCCCAAATCACTAATGAAGGAGAACCAGAGAAGGGGCTCAGTCTACTACCAGGTGAAGGAGAAGGTAATTCTGATTTAAGATTTAGATATTTCAGAACATCTTTGTTTTCTAGTTGGTAGGGAATAAAATTCTCTTCTTCACATTTGCATGCATATAGATGGAATTATGTCAATTTTCTGTTGAGCCTTTTTGAAACTGTGAGAGAGACAAAGGATCATGGTGAGCTGAGCCCCTGAGTAGGAACCATATCTCTGCATGGGGAATGTAGGGAGACAGAATATGCCAGAGGTAGGCTGGGGGAACCAGATAAGAAGTGCGTCAGTGACGTTATTACACATTAAACCTAAATATCAGCAGGTTATGGCAACTGAGTCAGGGGAGAATGTTTTCAGCCTACCTCCAGAAGGATCTGGAGCACGGACATGTTTTGTGAATGACTGAAGTCATGCAACTGAGAAAAGTCATGCGGGAGACCCTTAAGATGCAGCTGACAAGGGAAGGATCTGTGGTGCCATCGCCCCTGCGTAAACAGAAAAACTTTTCCAACCTGGGAGAAGAGAACTTTGAGAATGGGGAAAGTATATAAAATAATGGAGATTTTACCAGCATCCAGAAACATAAGATGAAACCCAAAGGAATGGACAGAAAAGGAGAAAATAGAAGACACATAGAAAGGAGATAACCTCAGGGAGAAAAATTAAAGAAAATTATACAAATGGCAACAAACATAATAATAACAGCAACATGGGAAGGAAGCACACAGGAAACTATGCAGAGAAAGAGACAGATCAAAATAATTAAAGAACCCATGAAGAGTGAAAACCATTGTCCAAGGAAAAGAGCAGGGCCAGGGCCTGTGGAGCAGAAGTCAGAGTCACTAGGTAGAAGCAGCTTACAGCAAAGGGCACCTCTGTCAATAGTGAGTTCTCCGATCCAGGTCCCCCTAGGTAGAGAGTGGGATGGAAGCATACTCCGAGGGTAAGAATATTCTTTCCCCAGTCTCATCTGCTTAGGTAGTAGAATGATTCTCATGTACATGTCTGCTAGGCAGACCTACCTTCCAAGCCCTTCCATTCATGTGCCTGAAGATATTTATCCCAGGAATCTGTCCACTGTAATGTCTGTCAGGAACGGAACACATCCTAAATGGAAACCAATACCTCCACTGAACCTAGAAACTCCCCCTTCTCCAGGATTACCTGTCTCAGTAAAGGGATGAATGTCCTATTTGCTCTTGCAATAATCAGGCTCATTTTTTTCTGCTTTAGCACAACTGTTATTTGCAAGATATCAATCAGATCATTTTCCTTTCTCATTAGACATGGTGATCTTGTTGCACAGGATTAGATGAGTTATCCTTCCTGTGGACTTCTGTGGCTTCCACCCATCATGGACCCCAGCCCATATCATCTCTCATCTCTACTAATGGCATCAATTGTTTCAAGAGCTGCAATGATCTGATCTTTCTTTTCTGTGTGGGCTCTTGAGCCATGCTTCCCTATACTATGTGGTGTTGCCTTGGCCCTGTCTGCTCCTGATCCCCTTCCTTATCTGGTTCATTTCCCTTATTCTAGGGATGCCTTTCCTGGTGCCCAGTATGAGAAAGGGGGTAAACAAGGAAATAAAGGAGATGAGGAAAAGTAGTAAAGAGCAGAGTCAGGGGTGCCAGAGAAAAAGACAGGAGCAGAGAAGGGGACAGAAACACATGGAAACAAAGAGAAGCACCTGGAGCCACTGGCCGCAGGAAACCAGGGCAGAGACAGAGGAAATGTGCAGAGGAAAGGGGGAGGGGGAGAAGGAGAGAGTGAGGAGTCCAGGGAGGAAGTGAGATGGTGGATGCTTCTCAGACTTAGAGACAGCACTGGAGTGTGTCTGCTTACAGGCCACAGGGCAGACCAGGAGGGGGGCCTGGGGAGAGCCCCACTTAGGAGATGCTTCAGCTTCCCACATCTTCACTGTTTTCTCTTCATAATTTATTGAGGGATTTCTTTTCTTTCTGCACAGAGGGCAGTGATGACTGTTTGGAAATGCGTGATGGAAGCCAGGAAGCCTCTAGCTCCCTAGCAAAATGTGGGTCAGGTAAGGAAGGGGAGGATTTCTGGCCCTGAGCTGCAGAGTGTCAAGAGGTTGAATTCAGAGCTGGTGTTTCCTGGTTGATTTTCCCCTGAGTATACTTCACAGTGAAAAATCCAATTAAGTCTCAGATTTTTCACATTTTCTCTACATGGATTGTTTGGGAAATGCAGGGAGGAATCCTTTATACAAGAGTCCGTGTTTAACGGAATGGATTTTATTGTTTGAAAACGTGTTTAGATATAATGTGGTAATTGGATTATGTCAACACAAGGCAATGTGTTCTCTCCTTCATATTCTCCTGCCTATTAATACTAAAGTATTAAAATATTTTACTGGATCAGGTCTCCTGATACGCTCACAAAACCCTAAGATGGGGACAGGAAAACTGGGTAATCCTATTTTATAGATGAAGAAATAAAGGTCAGAATACGGTAGGAGGAAAAAATGCTGTTTTGCCTGTATTTTTCGTCACTATCAATACTATTATTTGAATTTAAAATTCTAGTCTCACTCATTTCTTCTATGGGAATGAAGAAGCTTTTATTCCTCTGCTGGTAGATACTTTTAATCATTTTATTACAGACTTGATGAAGCCTTCAAAGAAATGGTATCCTGCCATTTAATTGACAGAATTCAGGTGAACTCTTTATGAGACTAAATGCTATTTTTGATCAATACTCTCCATTATGTCATTGGATCCTGCAGTGTGTTTTTAGAGTAGTCTGATAATTGTTACACTTTTACCCTTGGAAACCTCAAGACTTAGGTGGGAAAGTGCTGTTATTGTTGTTTTGAGGAGCCAGAAACACAGTGCATGAGACACAGGTGTCTGATGAGACCCAGAAAGAAGGAAATGCAGAGACCAGTGTCCTGGAAGACTCCTTGCAGTTCTGTGAGGCTGGCAGGGGTTGGGGTGGAGTCCCATGGTCTGAGTCCACTGTGGAAACCCAAAGGGCTTTTAGGAACCTGAGAGAGTCTACCAGGGTTTGATGGAGAGAGATTTTTATTAACAAATAAAGAAAGTTTAAGGAGAGGAGTGGAAAAACTATTGAGAATTAGAAAATATGTAACTGTAATCTACTCTACAAGGTAGGAAATATCCAGAAAAATAGAGCCAGAGAAAATAAACAGAGATGGAATTTGCAAAGTAGATGTAGCACATCACTGAAGGAGGAAGAGACAGATAGTCAGGGAGGGGAGACGTTTGGAAGAAAAGTCCAGAGAGTCTAACAGAAGCCCAGTAGCCTTCACAGAGCAGCACTATATAAAGGTGTATGAAGATATAAGTGCAAACTGTCACATGCCTTCATAGGTATAAAATGGGGCAAGGACACAAAGCACAGGACCAAGGATGCAAGAGGGACACGAGGGAGGCAGGAACAGTTCCAGAAAAAGAACCAAGACGAAGAGAAGTACCAAGAGAGTCCCTTGGCAAGAGACAGAGGTAGAAACAGAAGAAGCAGAGAAATGTGTCGGGGTGAAAACGAGAGTGCTGACATGGGGTGGGAGACCAGGTGGTCCAGGTTTCTGATAGTGTCGATCAGATCACCAGATTGCACAAGAGCCTTTACCCTCACAAAAACTTAAATGTCAGTAGGCAAACAGCTAAACTTCTATTTTATAGACTGGGAAATAAAGCACAGAAATGCAAGTAGGATATTTTCGCAAAGGCAAAGTGGAAAAGGAAGAGTGGGCACCAGTGTCCTGGGTATGTCACTGGGTGATGTTTGTGCAAGGCCAGCTGGGCGGTCAGTGCAGGGTCACAGGGTCAAAACAGAAAGAAGCCCAAGGAGTTCTGCAGGTTCCTGGAGTAGTGCAGCAGGGACCAATACAAAACTTTAAGGAAAAAAAATTGCTAGTGGGAGGGAAGGGAAATCATGGCAAGATAGCATAGAGCCTGCTCCTTGGGACAGGTGGGATCTAGAATAAGAGCTAAAGAAATAAGAGAAAGGGGATACAGTGTCACTGAAAAAGAAAAAAAAAAAAGAAAGAAATGGGAGGCAGGAGGAGGCAGTTGGAGAGAAGACCAGACAATCCAAGTGCTGCCCAGCTGGGAGGGAACTGTATGGAGGCAGAGCTGTGGGGAGGACACTGAGAATTAGAGAGAAGGAGAAAGAGGAGATACAACAAGATACAGAAAAGGCGGAAACAGACGTGGGTGGCTCTTAGCCTTTGTCCATCTTAGATGGTGTAAATGCGCCGAGGTCCGTATCCAAGTTACCCTCTGTGGTTTGTCAATTTCTTGTTTCTCTGCAGAGACATTTGCTGTACACATTCCCCAAATCACTAACGAAGGAGAACCAGAGAAAAGGCTTGGTCTACTACGGGGTGAAGAAGAAGGTAATTCTGATTTAAGTCTTTAGATATTTCAGAACATCTTTGTTTTCTAGTTGGCATGGAAAAAAGGTTTCCCTTTCTCCCATCCTACCCTTCTCTTCTTCACGTTCCCATAAATACAGATGGAATTATGTCAATTTTCTGTTGTGCCTTTTTGAAAACTATGACCCAGACAAAGAATCAAGGTAAGCTGAGCCCCTGAATGGAAACCATATTCCTGCATGGAGATGTAGAGAGACAGAATATGCCAGGGGTAGGCTGGGGCCACCAGAGAAGGAGTACCTGGGTGATGTTATTAAACACACAGTAAACCTAAACATCAGCAGGTTATGGCAATTGAGGCAGGGAGGTTGTTTTCAGCCTACTTCCAGAAGTATCTGGAACACAGACATAAGTTTTATGAATGATTGAATATTTGCAATTGAGGAAAGTCATGTGAGAGACCACTGGGACCCAGCTGACAAGCAAAGGGTCTCTGGTTTTACAGCCCCTGTGTAAACAGAAGAACTTTTTCAACCTGGGCAATGAGATATTTGAGAATGAGGACAACATGTAAAGTCATAGACATTTTACAGGCATCTAAGAGGGTAAGGTAAAACCCAAAGAAACAGAGACAGAAAAAGAGAAAGTAAAAGAGGATGTTCTCGATTGGAAATAAGATACGGAGAGAAAATTATACAAATAACAATATCAGTGTGGGAAGGAAGCACAGAGGAAACTATGCAGAGCAAGAGACAGATCAAAATAATTAAAGAACCCATAAAGAGTGCGAACTATTGTCAGAAGAAAGGCACAGGGCCAGGGCCTTGGAGCTGAAGCCAGTCACTAGACAGCAGCAGCTTCCAGCAAACGGCGCTTGTGTCAATAGTGAGTTTTCTGATTAAGGTCCCTGTAGGTAGAGAGTGGCACACAAGCATACTCAGAGGATAAGAATTTTTCACCTGCAATCTCATCTGCTCAGGTAGTGGAATGATTCTCAAGTCTTTAATACATGTCTGTTAGGCAGACCTGCCTTCCAAGCTCTTCCATCCATGCGCCTGAAGACATTTATCATGGGACCTTCTCCACTGCAATGTCTTTCAGGAACTGAACACTTCACAGTGGAAACCAACACCTCTACTGAACCTAGAAACTCCTCCTTCTCCAGGGTTTGCTCTCTCAGTAAAGGGATGAATGTCCTGTTTGCACTTGTACTCATCAGACTCATTTTCTCTGATTTAGCACAGTTGTTAGTTGCAAGATATCAATCAGATGATTTTCCTTTCCCCTTAGACATGGTGATCTTTGTTGCACAGGATTAGATGAGTTATCCTTCCTGTGGATTTCTGTGGCTTCCACCCATCATGGACCCCAGCCCATATCATCTATCTCATCTCTACTAATGGCATCAATTGTTTCAAGAGCTGCAATGATCTGACCTTTTTTTCTGTGTGGGCTCCTGAGCCATGCTTCCCTATACTATGTGGTGTTGCCTTGGCCCTCTCTGCTCCTGATCCCCTTCCTTATCTGGTTCATTTCCCTTTTTCCAAGGATGCCTTTCCTGGTGCCCAGTATGAGAAAGGGGGTAAACAAGGAAATAAAGGAGATGAGGAAAAGTAGTAAAGAGCAGAGTCAGGGGTGCCAGAGAAAAAGACAGGAGCAGAGAAGGGGACAGAAACACATGGAAACAAAGAGAAGCACCTGGAGCCACTGGCCACAGGAAACCAGGGCAGAGACAGAGGAAATATGCAGAGGAAAGGGGGAGGGGGAGAAGGAGAGAGTGAGGAGTCCAGGGAGGAAGTGAGATGGTGGATGCTTCTCAGACTTAGGGACAGCACTGGAGTGCGTCTGCCTACAGGCCACAGGGCACCCACCCACAGGGCAGACCAGGAGGGCCTGGGCTGGTGGCAGCCCCACCTAGGAGATACTTCAGTTTCCCATATCTTCACTAAATTTTCTCTTCATGGTTTTTTGTTGGTTTTATACTGAGACCTCTGAGGGATTTTATTCCTTTCTGCAGAGGGCAGCGATGACTGTTCAGAAATGTGTGTTGGAGAAGAGCCCCAGGAGCCCTCCAGCTCCCTAGCAAGATGTGGGTCAGGTAAGGAAGGAGAGGATTTCTGGCCCTGGGCTGCAGAGTGTCAGGAGTTTGAATCTGAAGCTTGTGTTTCCTGATTGATTTTCCTTTGCGTATACCTCACAATGAAAGGCTCAATTAATCCTAAGATTTTTCACATTTTCAGTACATGGATCTTTTGGGAAATGTAGGGAGGAATCTTTATACACAAGTTCGTGTTTAGCAGAATGGGTTTTATTGTTTGAACATATGTGTTCAGACATTCAAGTGGTAGTCGAAATATGACATGGCAACGCAATGTGTTTTCTCCTTTATATTCTCATGCCTTTTAATACTACACTATTAAAATATTTTACCAAATAAGATCTGATACCCTCACAAAACCTTAAGATGTGGGCAGGCAAATGGGGTAATCCTATTATGTAGATGAGGAAGCAAAAGTCAGAAATATGCTAGGAGGAAGCCATGCTCTTTTGCCTTTATTTTTTATAGCTATCAATACTAATATTTGAATTCATATAAAATTTTGATTCTTACTCCTTCTGTGGAAATAAAAAAGGATATCTTTCCTCTGCTGGTAGATACTTTTTATCTTTTTTTCCACAAACTTGACAAAACCTCTTCAGAGAAATGGTATTCTACCATCTAATTGGCAGAATTCAGATCAGCTATTTATGGAATTAAGTGCTATTTTTGACCAGTACTATCCATTATGTCATTGGATCATGCAGTGTATTTTCAGGGTACTCTGATAAGTTTTATACTTTTACTCGCGAAAACCTCAAAACTTAGATAGGGAAGGGGCTGTTACTGTGTTTTTGAGGAGCCAGAAACACAGACATGCATGTGACATGCGTGTTTGAGAAGACCCAAGAAAAAAGCAAGAGCAGAGACCGGTGTTCTGGATGACTCCTTGCAGGCTTCCAGTTCTGTGAGGCTGGCATTGGTTGGGGTGGGGTCCCATAGTCTGAGTCCCGTGTGGAAGTCCAAAGGGATTTTAGGAATCCAATAGAGTCTACCGAGATTCAACGGAAAGATACTTTTATTTAACAAATAAAGAAAGATTAGGGAGAGGAAACATTATCAAGAGTTGGAAAATACTTGAATGTAATCTACAATATGAGATAGGAGATATCCAAAAAAAAAACAAAACAAAAATAGAGCCAGAAAACGGAAACAGAGAGGCAATATGAAAAGCATACGTAGCACATCACTGAAGGAGAAAGACAGATAGTAAGGGAGGGGAGATGTTAAGAAGAGAAAGTCCAGAAAGCTGAAGAGAACTACAGAAGCCTCCATAGGGTAACAGTAAAAAAGTGTCACTAGTAGAAGGGGCTACCACTTAGGCTGGGCACGGTGGCTCATGCCTGTAATCCCAGCACTTTGGGAGGCTGAGGCAGGTGGATCACTTGAGGTCAGGATTCGAGGCCAGCCTGGCCAACATGGTAAAACCCCATCTCTATTACAAATACAGAAATTAGCTGGGTGTGGTCACGCACACCTGTAGTTCCAGTTACTCAGGAGGCTGAAACAGGAGAACTGCTTGAACCTGGGATGTGGAGGTTGCAATCAGCCAAGATCATGCCACTGCACTTCAGCCTGGTGACAGAGCAAGACTCCATCTCAGAAGAAAAAAAAAAAAAAAGAAGAAGGGCTACTACTTAATAGCAAACAAAAGGCTGAATTTATTGTTCAATTAAGGGACAGTTGTGCTTGTGGGCCACTGTTTCTCTGAACAGAGAATATTTGTGGAAGTGTGGAACTCAGTGATTGGCAGCCTTCAGAAGTGAGATTTGTTAGTGGTTAGTTGACCTTTAGTGAAAGCAGGGTCACTGGAGTGTGGCTGTCACTGATTGGGTGAGTTTCAGAAGCATGGGGAAGTGAATAGTTTGCTGCTTTTCAGAGGCCAGCTGTGTCCTGGCCAGAAGCTATTGTTGATTAATTGGGACAATTCTGGTTGTTATTGTCCTTATGGCTAAACAATAATGAGTTTTCCTAGAAGTGTAGGAACTTCCATTCTCAGCCTCCTCTGCAGGAAATCTCTCATCTAAAGCTGCAGGAGGCACCATCAAGCATTGTTCCCATCCAAGATGTCTTTTCTGGAAGAGAACACAGGAAACGGAATCCTAGGATGCTCCTTCGTTAAGTAGGCACTATAGAGTTGCTGGATTGAGAGTTTTATCCTAGTGGAGGATGATATAAGAAAAAGTAATGATGTTTAATAATATGTTAATTGAATGATGGACAACTGTGAAATGTTATTAATTAGCAATAGAATTGTGTTGCTTACAATACTATCATATTTAATTCCCGTTTGCCCCAATAATACTTGCCAGATGCATTTGTGGCTGCAGTGTTTATGCCAAGTAACTTTGCATGAAGTAGCTCACTTTTATTATGACTTTGGAAACAAAAGACATTCTTCTAATTATAGCATTCTGGTTTTAGTAGTGGTATTTCCATTTACAAAATATAGTAATTCTTGATCACTGAAAATGTCAAATCCTGAAAAACATAGCTTTCCCACATGTGCTGTTAACATTGTTCTTGAACAATTGTTGGCTGAAGATTCATTTGATGAGTTATATATTTTTAAAATAGATGATTTTGGTATTAGTTCTGTTTAGAAATAACTCCAAGAATAGTTTATATATTTTATTTTCACATTGAAAATCAATAATGTTTGCTTTAGCCTCAAAGAATGTGTCTATGTGAAATTGAGCACTTTTTTTTTTTTTTCTAAATGGGAATAGAGTTCAAGATGATCCAAGTACAAAATCTCCAGAAGCATGGACTAATACAGTTACCTGCAGTTGCTTTGAGGCAACTAGGATGAGCTGTGGCTACTAGCAATGGCCCTTTGATGTCTGTCATGTTTTGAAGTGATACCCGTAGAGCATGGCCTGTTTGTTTATTTATTTATTTTTATTTTTTCATAAGTTATTAGGGTACAAGTGGTATTTGATTACATGGGTAAGTTCTTTAGCAGTGATTTGTGAGATTTTGGTTCACCCATAACGTGAGCAGTATGCACTGCACCATATTTATAGTCTTCTATCCCTTGGCTCCCTCCCACTCTTCCCCCCAAGTCCCCAAAGACCATTGCATCATTTTTTTTTTTTTTTTTTTTTTTTTTGAGACGGAGTTTCGCTCTTGTTACCCAGGCTGGAGTGCAATGGCGCGATCTCGGCTCACTGCAACCTCCGCCTCCTGGGTTCAGGCAATTCTCCTGCCTCAGCCTCCTGAGTAGCTGGGATTACAGGCACGCGCCACCATGCCCAGCTGATTTTTTGTATTTTTAGTAGAGACGGGGTTTCACTATGTTGACCAGGATGGTCTCGATCTCTTGACCTCGTGATCCACCCGCCTCGGCCTCCCAAAGTGCTGGGATTACAGGCGTGAGCCACCGCGCCCGGCCCCATTGCATCATTCTTATGCCTTTGTGTCCTCATAGCTTAGCTCCCACATATCAGTGAGACTATACGATGTTTGGTTTTCCATTCCCGAGTTACTTCGCTTAGAATGATAGTCTCCAGGCCAGGTGCAGTGGCTGATGCCTGTAATCTCAGCACTTTTGGAGGCCGAGGTGGATGGACACCTGAGTTCAGGGGTTTGAGACGAGCCTGGCCAACATGGCGAAATCCCACCTCTACTAAAAAAAAAAAAAAAAAATTAGCCAGGTGTGGTGGCACATGCCTGTAATCCCAGCTACTGGTGGGGGCTAAGGCAGGAGAATTGCTTGAACCTGGGAGGCAGAGGTTGCAGTGAGCCAAGATCATGCCAGTGCACTCCAGCCTGGGTGACAGAGTGAGACTCCGTCTCAAAAAAAAAAAAGTCTCCGCAAATGCTGTTTATTCCTTTTCAGGTCTGCATAGTATTATGTGTCATATATATCTTTATCCAGTTTCTTTATCCACTCATTGATTGATGGGCATTTGAGTTGGTTCTACAACGTTGCAATTATGAATTGTGCTGCTGTAAACATGCATGTACAAGTATCTTTTTTGGATAATGACTTCTTTTCCTCTGGGTAGATACCCAGTAGTGGGATTGCTGGATCAAATGGTAGTTCTACTTTTAGTTCTTTAAGGGATCTCCACACTGTTTTCCATAGTGGCTATACTAGTTTGCATTCCCACTAGCAATGTAGAAGTGTTCCCTGTTCACTGCATCCACGCCAACATCTACTGTGTGGTTTTGATTTGCATTTCCCTTATCATTACTGATGTTGAGCATTTTTTCATATGTTCATTGGCCATTCGTATATCTTCTTTTGAGAATTATCTATTCATGTCCTTAGCCCACTTTTTGATGAGGTTATTTGTTTTTTTCTTACTGATTTGTTTGAGTTCATTGTAAATTCTGGATATTAGTCTTTTGTCAGACATATAGATTGTGAAGATTTTCTCCCACTCTATGGGTTGTCTCTTTACTCTGCTGACTGTTCCTTTTGCCATCCAAAAGCTCTTAGGTTTAGTTAAGTCCCAGCTATTTATCTTTGTTTTTCTTGCATTTGCTTTTGGGTTCTTAGTCATGAAAACCTTGCCTAACCCAATGTATACAAGGATTTCTTTGATGTTATCTTCTATAATTTTTATAGTTTCAGGTCTTAGATTTAAGTCCTAGATCCATCTTGAGTTGATTTTTATATAAGGTGAGAGATGAGTATCCAGTTTCATTCTCCTACATGTGGCTTGCCAATTATTCCAGCATCATTTGTTGAATAGGGTGTCCTTTCCCCACTTTATGTTTTATTTGCTTTGTCAAAGATCAGTTGGCTGTAAGTATTGGGTTTATTTCTGGGTTCTCTATTCTGTTCCATTGGTCTATGTGCCTATTTTTGTACCAGTATCACACTGTTTTGGTGACTATGGCCCTATAGTATAGTTTGAAATCAGGTAGTATGAAGCCTCTAGATTTGTTCTTTTTACTTAGTCTTGCTTTGTCTATGTGGGCTCTTTTTTGGTTACATATGAATTTTAGAATTGTTTTTTCTAATTTTGTGAAGAAGATGGTGGTATTTT